TATCAAAACTATCTCCTAAGTTCCATTTGAATTAAAAGCATTAATATTGATAAAGTTCCAATCTACCTTGTGAGAGGGCTTAGATTTAAATTTAAAAAACTATTAATACTCATTGTTTTAAAAATTGACTTCATGCTTTGTTTATTTTCAAAACAAAATTAAAGGGTTTGGAAATTAAAAAGAGGGTGTTTTGGTTTTTTTAAATTTCATTCCTTGTATAAAACATGAGCTAGGTTGTTCTTTATACTCGGCCTGTCCACATGCCTTGACACCTGGCTGGGCTGGTGGACGGTGGTTGGGCAGCAAATCCTGGGAAACTGCAACTTCCCCAAGGCCCACAACCCCCCACCCTGAGAAGCAGGAGAGCACAATGTGGTTAGGAGCTTAGATCTGGAGTCCGGTGGAACCTGGATTTAACCCCCTACTGGGGATATGCCCGCAACCAAGGTACATGCCCTTGACTGGAATCGAACCTGGCACCCTTCAGTCCGTAGGCCGATGCTCTATCCACTGAGCTAAACCGGTTAGGGCAACACAACCTGTGTCTTCCCTGGGATGTTGTGAGGCTCAAATGAGGAAGGGTGCAGTGCTTCACTTAGCATAGTTTGGTGAAGGCTGACTTCCTGTGTGGGGTCCCAGCAGAGCAAAAATGTAAGGCAGGCCGAAACCGGTTTGGCTCAGTGGATAGAGCGTTGGCCTGCGGACTGAAGGGTCCCGGGTTCAATTCCGGTCGGGGGCATGTACCTTGGTTGCGGGCATATCCCCAGTGGGGAGTGTGCAAGAGGCAGCTGATCGATGTTTCTCTCTCATCGATGTTTCTAGCTCTCTATCTCTCTTCCTTCCTCTCTGTAAAAAATCAATAAAGTATATTTTTTAAAAAATGTAAGGCAGAAGATGCTGTGAGGGGCCTGGGGCAGAGCAAATCAACCCTCCACCCGAAAGTCCACATGATGGCCCAGAAATTCGGCCATTTATTCTACAACAGTCACTCAGCCACTATTGGCCTAACCAATGCCGAGCTCCACACAAAAACGGGACACAAAGACAAGTGAAGACACTGCCTCCAGGAAGCCCACAGACTTGTAGGAGGGACATCTACGCAGTGGGATGGTGTGACAGAGGGTGGGCTAGGGCCTGGGCAGTCCCTGCAGAGCCTCCTAATCCAGGTAGAGGAGGTCTGGGGGAGGGGGTCCTGGACTTAGATGGAAAGGATGAGTCGGAGATGAGCTGGTGAAGGTAGAAGAAGTCTAGGCAGAAGACTCAGCGTGTGCAAAAGTGCAGAATGGAGAGAAAGTGGGGAATATGTCATGGGATACGGGGGCTGGGGTTCCGGCTGGTGTCTGAAGGCAAAGATAGGAGGGCATTGATTTCACAGCAGGGCAGTGCAAAGACAACTGCTGCGAGGTTGGTGACTACATGGTGGCATGCTGCAAGGAGGTTTAAAACATGCAATACCCGACTACTGAGTCAGAAACACTGACCTCTTTCCCCTGAGATTGTGAAATAAAGAAATGACAGCAGTCAACACAAAGTCATCTTGTGTGAATAAATCAAAACTATGCCTTTTTTGGTGTGCTGCAGAACTTTAGTAATTAATTCCTGTGCCATGATGAAAAACGTTGAAAATTGCTGGCCTAGCCTACAGGCTTATCATTTTGATTTTCCAGGAAGAATACAGGTCTTCCACTCACGTCAAGGCCCAGCTGCAGAAACCTATTCCTCCAGCCAGGCTGGCTCGCAGCTTCTCCTTGAATGCAGGTTGCTAGGCAATAGGCCCCGCCCCCACAGTGGTCTGGCCTCCATCGGCCCCGCCCACAGCCGCTCCTCGCACGCCCTCTCCTGGCGGCGCCATGCAGGTGCACGGGCGTCGGGGAATGCCTCTGGCTGCCTTCCGGGACATCCTCCTGGCTTACAGCCAAGCCTCCATTTGCGATGAGCAGCGCTGCCCCTGGCCACTGGCCTCTTTACAGTCCGCCCTTTCCTGCCTGACCCCAGCCCTGCAGAACCTGGGCTGGGCCAGCGGTGAGGGCGAGGAGGCTGGAACGATGGGCGGGCAGTTGGTTTGAAGATGCTGGTCTTTACTCTGAGCAGTAGGGAGCCATGAAAGGCATGTGAGCAAAGAAGTAACATGAGATCGGTTCTTTCACTGCTAATTCTGCTGCTGGAAGAGCAGGGCATTCAGGAGCATGGGTTGGATTGACTGGAATGGCTACAGGGCGCAGGGGTCCACTGACCTCCCCCCTCCAAGTGATCATAGTGAGAGCCCACAGGAAAGGACAGAACTTGGGGTTCTGTCCACCAGGGGTAAGGAAGCCAGGCCTCCGACCCTGCCCCACAGTTGTGTCTTTTCTCCCCAGCAGGCACCTTCAGGGCTCCAGGAAAGATGTAGAGCGTCTCAAGGTTCATCAGATCCCAGGCCTATTGGAGAAGTGAGAGCCCCGTGGACATGGGCTCCTATAATAAGGTAACAGGACATTTTTCTCACCAGTTCACAGCCTCCCATCTCAAACCCCATGTGCTAACTAACACCGTTTTCTTGCATTGGTCAGACTTGATCAGAAACGGAAAAACAGCTTTATTGATGCAGCTTGGTTGAAAAAAAATCTTTCAAAACATGTACTCTAGAATAAAACAAAGTGCAAAGTGCAATTTAAAAAAAAAAAAAAAGCAAGGGCTGATCAACCCCACCGGGCCAACTGACAGAAGGTCGGGGGTCCAGTGAGGGCAGGGTGAGTGGGGCTAAATGGAACCAGAAGTCAGGTCTTCTCCTACCTTCCCAGGGCTTCTGCGGCATCATGGCCCTGGGGGCAGGACCAGCATTTGGGTGGCTGACAGCTTCAGCCACTAAGCCAGGCTAGTGCAAAATCACTGCACCATCCGGTTCAGACGGAAGCCAACGCCTGGCTTTGCGCTGCGGAAACTACTTTGTTTGTAATGCAGTCACTGAAAAACTCCCATGGCTGTGCCTGCCCCAGTGCCTTTCAACAGAGCAGGCCCGGTCCTGGACCCCAGCCACCACACTGATGAGGACAGATTACTTCTCAGTGGTCCTCCTGCTACTTGTCCTGGGAGGATGGATGGGCACCCACGCCCACAGGCAAGACAGAAAGCAGGCCACCTGTTCCCCTGCATGTCAGCCTTTCCCGGGATGGAGAACAAGATGCTGCTCCTCACCCTGGAATCCTCCACTCCACATCCCTTACCCTCTCTGCCCACATAAAAGTAGTGCCTGTTTTCACCTAACTCATTCTTGCTCTTTAAAAAGGTGAGGTCCTGGCTGGCATGGCTCAGTGCTTAGAGCAAGGGTGGGCAAACTTTTTGACTTGAGGGCCACAATGTGTTCTTAAACTGGACCGGAGGGCTGGAACAAAAGCATGGATGGAGTGTTTGTGTGAACTAATATAAATTCAAAGTAAACATCATTACATAAAAGGGTACAGTCTTTTTTTTTAGTTTTATTCATTTCAAACAGGCCGGATCTGGCCCGCGGGCCGTAGTTTGCCCACGGCTGGCTTAGAGGGTTGGCCTGTACAGCAAAGGGTCAAAGGTTCAATTCCCAGTCAAGGGCATGTACCTGGGTTGCAGGTTCGATTCCCAAGTGCAGGAAGCAACCAATCGATGTGTCTCTATCACATTGATATTTCTCTCTCCCCCTCCCCCCTCCTTTCCACTCTCTCTGAAAATCAATGGAAAAAATATCCTTAGGGTGAGGATTAAAGAATAAAAGGCAGATGAAGCCCTGACTTTTCCAGGCTTCCTGACCATCCCCAGCTCCTATTCCTCTGTCCCAGTCCCAATGCCACTGGACAGTATCTGTTTCCACTAGATTCCACGCTCACGGGCAGAGCTGCTGATTGTCAGGCTCTAAATCTAGTAGAGATGTCAGGTGATTTTTAAATGAAGGAACAAATGAAACCAGGGGAAGAGCCCCAAGATTCTAAGACAGCAGAATGGGACCAAGTTCTGTATTTTAAAATCATGTCCCGCTGCAGGGACCATGAAAGGAGCTGGGGAAGGGAAACGAAAAGTCATCTTTACATCTGATGTGTCTACATCAGATTTCCTTAAGAGGTTTCCATTTCTTAAAATAATAACAACTGAAGCAGTCTGGCCCAAGTCACTTGATCACTGAAGGGAAGGGGAGAGGGCGAAGGGAAGGGGAGAGGGCGAAGGGAAGGACTGGCCTAAGCAAGCACGTGGTAGGAGCAGGCCGACAGGCCACAAACCCAGGCCCCCGCTGCTCTACCCAACACTGCCTTCCACGTGGATTTAAAGAGAGAAGACATCTTCCACAGCATTTTCATTGCTCATTTTATTTCAACAGTCAACTGGCCCCAGAGAAGAAGTGCTGACATCTCAGGTACTTTGGAAGGACCATTCTATTCTGGGAACAAACAGCCTACTTTTTAAAGCTGGCAAACACTAAAAAACAACAAGTAATAAAACGTTAATGCATTTTTTAAAACAAGAAAGATGCCTATAAATGGCTTAAACTTTATGGAGGGAAGGGGAGGGTAGCACAGGGGTCACGATGCTTGCTAGTAAAGGCCCCTGGAGAAGGGGCGAGGGGCAGTGGGAGACAGGGCAGCAGAGAAGGACACTCCAGAACCTGCTGTCAGTGCCCTGCCCGGCTGCTCGCACCAGCCCCTGGATGTGCTGGAAGCTTGATGTTTGTGCTGCCAGCCCCTGGGACCAGGCAGAGGCAGAAGGCTGAAATACATGGTGCCTCCCGTCTTGCAGTGGGGCCTGGGGAAATCAAAGAATGCTTCTGAGGGCGAGTCACATAAAAGGTAGCACAGCCCAGAGATGGTTAAATTCATTCCTAAATGGGAGTTCCCATCAGCCCCCACTCCTCAGAGGCCTGGTCCCCCCCTGGTTAACTTCATCCTCCACTCTCCTGTTCCAGCTCATATTTCAGGATTGAAACTTAGAAACCACCCTCTTTCCTCCTATCTTGAAATGGGAATTAACTCTATTTTATGTCTATCACTGTCCACCCTCCCTAACATCACTAAACACAGACAAGAAAATCATTGCTGTCACCCCCCCGATGCCCCATTTTGCTGGCCAGAGGCCCGGGGCCTAGTCGGACTGCTCCTGAGACGATGGCTGGCTGGGCTCAGGAGGCATCCCTGCAACCTGGTCATCTGCAAAGAACAAAAAAGAGGGGATGCATTTAGGAATAGGAAAAATTACCTATTTTCAGGTGTAAGCTTTCTACAAGGCTTCTCATCATTCCCAGGCCCTAAGGAGAATTTGCCTTGGATTTGCTGGGTGTCAGGAGGCTGGAATTCTAGTCCTCATATGATACAGGCTCAAGTCCTGCCTGCCACAGGCTGGGTGGCATGAAACAAACTACCGGAAGCTCTGAACCAGTTCCTCCTCCTGTAAATGAAACGATGCCTACCTTGCAACATCAGGTCAGCATGGGACCAGGGGGAACAGTGAGAACTAACTTCCACTATTGGCTTCATCATTTCAGGTTCTGGTTAATCCTCAGAATAACCACATGAGGTGGGGAGCATTACCAGTCCACTGCGACAGACACTGAAACTGAGGCACCAAGGAGTGGTTTAGCTTGCCCAAGGCCACACAGCTGGTAAGTGCTAGAGCCAGGACTTATGCCCAGGCCAGCACCAGGGCCAGCAAGCTTCAAGCCACACTCGACCATCTCTCCAGCTAACAAGATGCAGGCGTCTCACACACAGCAGGTGTGCAACAGGCCTCAGTTCCCTCTTCAGTAAAACGAGAAGGACATCACCAGCCTAACCTCAGGGGAAAATTAAAAGGAAAAAAAATCCTTGAATGTATAAGTAACACAACCCAGAGATGGTTAAATTCATTCTGCAAAGGGCCCTAAAAAACAAATTCCTCAAAGCATTTTCACATCTAAAATTTCAGTTGACCTTCACAGTAACCCTGTGAAGAGGCCCATTTTACAGATGAAAAGACTGAGGCCTAGAGAAGGGTGGGTGAGTGACTAAGATCACCCAGTGCATCGGTGGCAGAGCCAAGAAGGATAGGGTCTCTAGCCCTTGGTCAGGTTCTCTCCAGAGTGGCCTGAGGAGAGGAATCACCCCTACCAGACCCAAACTGGCTCCTGCTGCTGTTCCAGGCTTGGCATTTGTCATTTCCCCAGCCAGAGAGGCCTGGCACCTCTGGTCTGAACATACCACATACACACCTCCCTCCACATCTTTGCCCAGGGGCACTAATAGAGCCAGACACATAATTCTGTTGAAATCTGAGCTCTGCCATTTATAGCTACAAGAACCCCTCTGGGCTCTATTGGTTTCCTTACCTCCTTGGGGGCCCACCTCCTTGATGCCTGCCTACAGAATTTAGGGGAGGGGTCTAAGGAGAAAGCGTATCCCAGGCCCAGCACATTTTAATTCTGTTCTCAATCACCCCTCTCTCCACATCTATTTTGATTAGCCCCCTTCCTCCAGAAAGTCTTCCTGGCTCCCTACAAAGCGGAAGACTGAGCTCTTACCCGCGGTCTCCTGGTCCGCATCAGACGGGACGGTCAGTGAGAAAGGTGCTGGTGGCGGTGGTGGTGGCGGTGGTGGCAGGAAATGGATCCCAGCGAGGAAGCCTGGTGGGAGGAACGGGGGCGGGGGTGACAGGGGTGGCGGCAGCAGGGGTGGCGGCTGCGGCATCAGGGGTGATGGTGATGGTGATGGTGGCGGAGGCGGAGGCGGAGGCGGTGGCGGAGGCGGATAGCTTGGCTGGAAGTTTTCCACTGGCTCTGGCACCTGCATGGCACACCAAGCAGAGAAGCCAAAAAGGGGAGAGGATTAGCCAGATGGGCTGATCAAACATGATGTTCTCTCGAATTGGGGGGGTCCCATGGGCTGGACACAGGCACTTGAAATGGGGTGCTCAGCAAAGAAATTACTGACGGCAAGAAGGAACGCAGGCACACCTCCGATCAGCCTGGGGGACAGCCGTTCCGGCCCCTGACTGCACCCTCTCTAAGCTGCTGAGCGGCTGAGGCAGAACTGGATCGCGTCTGTCTGACCCACTGCTCAGCGCTCGGCCAGGGTCCCAGGGCATCCCAGCCACCTGTGGTCCATTGTCGGGCAATGACTTAGACTCCAGAGCCAGGGCCTTCTCCTGGGTGGAGTGCAGCTGTGACTGAGTCAGAATAGCTGGGTGACCTCAGGAAAAGGGGCTCCAGCCACCACCATTCTGTGCTTCTGTTGCTTCTTCCGAAGATGGAAGCCAACCCCCTGACACAGGACCCCAAGGCTGGAAGGGAGGGATCTGAAGGGAGGATGACTACACAGCTCAGAGCGCATCTAAGACATGAATGTAATGAAAATAGTCATGAATGTCAGGTGTAGTTCCTACTATTTACTTCCATCCAGATACATCAGAGCAGCGCTCCACAAGCTGTGTTCCAGAGAACTTGGAGTCCTACAAGATTATTCTAAACTGCTTTTAAAGTGTTCGTTGTCAAGGGAGTTTGAGAAACTCCACATATTGACTCACCACAATGGTGAGTCCCATATAAGCGCATTAAAGCCTTGAGGCCGTCTGCAAAAGCCTTAGGCCAGGGGTCCTCAAACTACGGCCCGCGGGCCACATGCAAATACAAATATTGTATTTGTTCCCGTTTTGTTTTTTTACTTCAAAATAAGATATGTGCAGTGTGCATAGGAATTTGTTCATAGTTTTTTTAAAAACTATAATCTGGCCCTCCAACGGTCTGAGGGATAGTGAACTGGCCCCGTTTAAAAAGTTTGAGGACCCCTGCCTTAGACTAACCAGCATGTCCTAACTTAATCTGACCACAAAGAAGAGAGGAAAGCCTACTCTCAAGTGCCTACTACGTGCCAGACCCCGTGCAGGCCCTTCACACGCATCGCACCCTCCTCTCGCGAGGCCCCGCTGACAGATGGAGCCGAGCGAGGTCCTCCGAGGCCACAGAGCTGTAAGAAAAGGACGAGGGGGCCCAGGCCTGTCCAGCTCCAGGCCTGGGATCTTTTGTGGGAGAACAAAAGCAGCAGCAGGTGGGACAGAGACAGAAATAAAAGGTGGGAGAGTCTTGGGGGTTATCTCGGAGCCTGGGCAGGGGGAGCAGACACGGTTCGAAGCAATTCATAGGCTCTTGGGTTTGAAACAGCTTTACAAATAAATATTGGATCCACTATCCAGACAGGAAAGGGTAGGAGGGGGATTATTAGCCCTTTAATTCCAAGCGACTTGGCCGTTTCTGCCTGGATCACAGCTCCTGCCTGGGGCCTGATAAACCGACGGAGATCACACCCTGACAATGGCAGTCTGGCAGGCCCGTCAGTCAGCGCTGCTCCGGACGCCAGGCTTCTGTGCGAGCAGACGGTGGGTGTGCGCTCCACTTGGCCAGAGCCCCTCTTTGTGTGGAGGCTGGAGGGGCCATGCTGTCCCTGGGCTGCAAGGGGGTGGCCAGCACCCACAGGGCAGGGCGGTGGGGCACTTTGTGTACCTCCGTCTGAGAGACAGGCTCAGGGAAGCAGAGTCAGGGCAGTCAGTGTGCATCCTGCTCTGTCGCTAATCTGCTGTGAATTTTGATCCCAGTGCCTCACTCACTCATTCTGTGACGTTGGACAAACCCGTAACTTCCTCTTCCCTACAATGGAATTATACCCCGTGCTCTGAAGACTCAAATAGAGGGGCAGGCACCCTAGAAATATCAAGACCAGTGGTTTTCAGACCTTTCCCCCTTGAATCAATGGAAAATGATCCTATATCAGTGATGGCGAACCTTTTGAGCTCGGCATGCCAGCATTTTGAAAAACCCTAACTTAACTCTGGTGCTGTGTCACATATAGAAATTTTTTGATATTTGCAACCATAGTAAAACAAAGATTTATATTTTTGATATTTATCTTATATATTTAAATGCCATTTAACAAAGAAAAATCAACCAAAAAACTGAGTTTGCATGTCACCTCTGACACTCGTGTCATAGGTTCGCCATCACTGTCCTATATAATAAAGCAGTAATATGCAAATTGACCGTCACATCCTCACACAAGATGGCCACGCCCATGTGGTCCCAAGATGGCCGCACCCATGTGGTCCCAAGATGGCTGGCAAGGGAGGACTGTTGGGGGCGACCGGGCCTGCAGTGGAGGGCAGTTGGGGATGACCAGGCCAGCAGGGGTGTGGTTAGGGGCACTCAGGCAGGCTAGCGGTTGGCAGCCAGCAGTCCTGGTTTGTGAAGGGATGTCCGACTGCCGCTTTAGGCGCTTATAGAGCACACCAGTTAGTAACTCACCACTGACCTCATAAAGGGATTACATCTCATTCCTTCTTTCAACACATAGATCTTTAGGGGATAGGTGTTTGGGAAAAGGTTTCCATATTTTTCATGACTAAGCTTAAATGCCACTTCCTCTTGAAAACCCTGTGCAGTCCCAAGTGGGCCATACCCTGGGCAGGGGCCCTACAGCTGCTCCTCGCTCTGCCCTCAACTGTATGGCAGCAGGACAGTGGCATTTCCCTCCTGGTACCAGCAAAACGAAGAGCCTGTGGCCCCGGCATTCCACGCGTCCAGGCTGGTGGTCACTTAGTGTTCCCAGGTTTACCTACGTGTCTGCGATCCTTCTTGCCTGAGCTCCCAGAGCCGTTTAGCCTACAGCTCTGAAAAGCAAACGCCACAGCGCAGGCTGACCAGTCTACACATGATGAGACTCACAACATGTGTGCACTCCCAGAGGTCTGCACAGTACAGGCCGAGGGGCCTGGCAGAGTGGGCACACCAATGGCTTTCTGGGACTGAGCATATGTAAGAGCAGCAGAGCAGATGGGATATGGAGGAACCAGAAAGGAGTCAGGATGGGACTCACCGAGCCTTCTCCATGGTAGTGGCTGAAGGACACGTGCCGGAAGCCCTGCTGCAGGGAGATGCCCAGGCCCGGGGAGGGATCCTGGTAGCCCATCGGGAACGGGCGATAGTACATGCTGGAGCAGCTGGGATACAGCTTGGAAGGCTCTCTCTCCAGGTACTCAGACCGCACCATAGCATCCGAGTTGATGCTCAGAGAGAGCCCTGAAAGAGCAAGCAATGGGAGAAGTATTAAAAACACAAAGAGCGAGGGAACAAGCATCACATTACTGTCCAAAGATGGGACAAACATTCAGGCCCTTTTACACAGAGCTCCCACATCCGTTATGCTTTTCACCCTCCCTGCTTTCTAAACCTTTCAGCCATGTCCCACATTCTTAGAAAAAGTCCTCAGCACAGCCATGAAGCCCCAGGCAGCCGACCCTGCCTCCACTCCAGCCTCCTCCAGTGAGATGACCTGGCAGCTTCTTCTCTCTCATCCCCCTCAAAGCCCTTGCAGATGCTGTTCCCTAACCTCGGAGGGCTCTCCCTTCAGCCCACTTTGCCTCCTAGTCCTCAGTCCTCAGCATCTCCTCCTCCTAAGACCTCAGCTAAGCCGTTAGCTGTTAGAGCTCTCTACACGGATGTGTGATTCTTTATTAGTGTTCCCCTCACAAGGACGAGATGCTTAGGGAAGGAATCTGACTCCCCGCACCTTTTGCCACTATGTCTGGCAGTTAGGTGCTCAGCTCCTGTGCGTGGAGAGAGGAAGCATGTGCCAGTGGAAAGGCATCCTTCTCCTATAGGACTGCTGTTCCAGGTCTGTCCTCCCCATCTAGTTCCCTGGGGACCAGACTTTCCTAGAACATCCCAGAAGATAGAAATGGCCGTGGGGGAGCACCCAAGCCAATCTCCTTACACATGGGCGGGAGACTGGCACACCACAGGGAAAACCAACAGGGGCCTGCACTTCAAAATGGCCGTTTTTAAAAAGCCTCGGACCTACATGTGACCTGAAGTTGTGCTTTAATAGCGAAAGCATAATTTACATTGTTACATAAAGAACATTGTAACTTATGCACATGGTGGGCAGGAGAAAAAACAGACAATATCTCAATGAACTATCTTCTCCTCCGTGGAGCAGAAAGGCTGTCGCATCCCCACCCACGCCCAGGGAAAGGGCACAAAATGAGGTGCGCAGGCGCATTGGGCCAGGGCTCCGATGAAGGGCGGGGCCTTCAGAAAGACCAGAAGCGTGCGCAGGCGCAATCATAGTTTAGAAAGCCCATCTGTCTGCAGAAAGTCCTGCCAGTGGAGCCTCCCGCCCAAAAAGGAGCGGGAAAGGGCGCGCAGGCGGGTTGGAGCAAGGCACAGCGGAAGGGAGGTCTTCTGGGAAAAGCCTCCCGCTCCTGGAAATGGGGGGAAGTGCGCAGGCGCGGTCAGCATGGCGCTGGCCCACCCACAGAGACATTTTGTGGGGGAGGTGCCTGCAGCCCAAGAAAAGAGCGGGAAGAGCTGCGCAAGCGCAGTAGGGCCATTGTCTCCACAAGACGCCCCAGCTAAGCAGCCTGGACGCCATTTTTTTTTCTTGCAAGATGGAACGGCAGAAATTGTAGCTAAATATTGAAAGCCATCTTCACCACCCACTCTTTTCTCTCCCTTTTACCTTTTTGCAAAAAGGCACCCAACCCAAACCTGTACGTGGAGAAAGGTTTCTGAAAGCAAATTTAACTCAGAAAGCATTTCCCCATCCCCCTCCGGGAACACGAACATGGGGGGCAGGGAGGGTGCCGCCCTGAGCGGAACCCATGGCACAAGAAGGTCACATGGGACCTGGGGATCTTACCGTAGGCGAACGGCGGCGGCGGCCTGGGTTGCGGAGGCC